AATGTCTGGTTGTAAATATGGTGGAATTAGTGGCAATTTTGCATAATCACCTGCATAACAAATGTACTAATCATTGATCTTTCAAGTAATCCATCTAATCTAATCTTCTTAGATATATAGATAGACACATGTAAGTATCATAATAATATAACTAGCTTACTGATAAAATCAGGGATTGTACGGCCATTAGTTGCTCTGCCGGTGGAGGTATTAAAAAAGCTTTCTCCATAGGGCCAGTAATTAGCTTGGAGGGTCCGGCTAGTGTTGATGCAATTGTTGTTCCCGGCGTCAAACATCGAATCACCAAAGATGAACAAGGCCGGGGGTTTTCGCAGCTGCCAGTACTGGTCATGGCAGCTACTTTCAATGCCTCCAAGGAATAATAATGTGGAAAAAGCCCACAAATACATGAGAAACATGGCTCTTTCCATATGTGCCTTTGATTCTATAGTTTCACCCTGTGCTTATCTCCTCCGTTGGCCTGCAATGCTGTTAATGATATAGAAGGTCTTCTCTATTTTAATAATATTACACGTTTTTTGTTTGTGAATTGTTTATGGTAACCATTGAAACAAAAATTATTTGTTAACGGTTGTGGTCTTGTGGGTTTCATTGGATTTTGAGGCAAAATCATTTGTTTATGTGGTTTGGTTAAATTTTTAGTTTGGCTGGGCATAATGTTCATGAATACAGCCCATCTTAGTTGACAAAATCTGTACAGGAGAAGCATCGGTATCATTGAACCAACTATTTGTGTTGCACATGATCTTTCATTTATTTATTCATTCATTATTATTATTATTTTAGGAGAGTTTTTTTTTTTAGTATAATTATTTTAGGAGAGTTGAACTTTAATAGTTGAGGATGTATTTGTAATATTACCAAAACACAGAGGTTACGGGAAAAAAAAAAAAAAAAAAAAACGTACTGATAGAATAAGTTTTGAATTGTGATATCATATTATAAATATACTCAAAGAAAGCTTGAGTTTACTGTTCACACAGACTCATTTTATTATTATTTGCACAGTAGGATGCTGATTTTGCCATTTTTCCCCTTCTCCTATCTTTTCTGTGTAGGGACTGTTTGGTCTTCTTATTTTTGATAGGTTGATTGTACTGTTTTGCCCTGGTCTTTTATCATTTTATTTGTTTTAGATTGGGTGTTTTCGGTCATTTCTGTGTAAGTGGAGCCCTAGGTTCTATTCCCTCTTCGATCCTCTTATTCTCTCCACCTCTCTCACCTTCTTTTGCCAGAAACTCTATTTTTCTCATGTAATTTCGGTGAAAATTCTGGAATTTTATCCGTTCTTCTTCTGGGCGCTTCGGCGGTTTTTATTTGCAGCTTTGGTTTATTTTTTCTCGTAGTTTTGGTGGACGGTCCTTCCATTCATCTGGGCTTTGGTGGAGGTCTCTTCGATTTTTCTGGGCAGCTTCTATGTTAGTTTTATTCGCGCTTTTATTTTGGATTTTTATGTGGTTTTCTAGAAGTGCATGTGCTATGCTTTTTTCCCCTTTTAATGTGTTTTTTCCCTATTTTTGTTGGTTGTTTGCTTTTGTGTCTGATCTAATTAAATTTTTCAGAATTCGTTAAAATTTGTTGAAATTTTCGATTGGATAACGGATAGGGTTTTTGAAAATTATTTTTTATAATGCTTTATTTTTCCCTGCAATTGATTCTTTTGTTCAGAAAGAGGCTTTTATCTAGATGGTTCTATCTTTTCTTTGGCTGATCTTGATTTTTTTTCCTGCATTTATTGAGTTGATAATTTGTGGCATCTACGGTGCTGATTTGTCCTGTCAAGTTGATGATCTGTACTCATTTTGCTGCAGAGGTATTAAATGAATATAGCAAATAGGGTTTTTGAAAAAAAAAATTATAATGCTTTATTTTTCCCTGCGATTGAATGTTTTGTTCAGAAAGGGGCTTTTATCTAGATGGTTCTATCTTCTCTCTGGCTGATCTTAATTTTTTTTCCTGCGTTTATTGAGGTGATAATCTGTGGCATCTGCGGAGCTAATTTGTACTGTCAGGTTGATGATCTGTACTCATTTTGCTGCAGAGATATTAAATGAATATAGCAGATAGTGTTTTTTTAAAAAAAATTTATAATGCTTTATTTTTCCCTGCGATTGATTCTTTTGTTCAGAAAGGGACTTTTATCTAAATGGTTCTATCTTCTCTTTGGCTGATCTTGATTTTTTTCATGCATTTATTGAGTTGATAATCTGTGGCATCTACGGTGCTAATTTGTCCTGCCAAGTTGATGATCTGTATTCATTTTACTGCAGAGGTATTAAATGAATTGATGATTCTTCTTACATTGTCTGAAATGCATAAAAAATTTTGGGAAAAAAGCATTCTGATTCTTTTTTTCTTTTTCTTTCTCTGAGGTAATTATTATTTATGTTTTGTTTCCTTTTTTTTTTTCCCCTTTTCATTATTGTAAATAATATATTACTTTTATTATTTAATCAGGAAATTTTTGTTCTTTTAACTTCTGTAAACTAACTTTGTGCTCTTACTTGTGATATCTGTTTAGTAATATATATACATACACATCTTTACTTAACATATTTTAATTTTATTAAGTTTTTTTATGTGACAATGATAATTAACTTTGACATAGTGAGTTTTATGTAATTTGTCTAAAGATTGCTGTGAATATGTCTTCCTCATTTGGATTCTGATTTTATCTACTCTTTTTTACTTAAATTTTTTGGTAGTTTCTCTTTTGTTCTTTTTACTTGTTTTAATGCTTTTGCCTTCTTAGTATTTACTGTTTCAAACAAAAAAATCGTAGGAAAAAAAATAAAGACCTTACTATTTTATTTTAGTTTTCTCATGATATTCCTCCGCATCCTTTCATTCCTCTATTTGTTGTTGGCTTAATGTCTTTCTTTTACTTCATTTGGTCACAAATCGTAGGTTTCATTGCCCTTTTGATGTTGTTATTTTTTTCTCTTTTTTTAATTCACCCGGTAGTCTTTGGATAACTTTATATATTACTCCAGTCATTCATTTTGTATCACATACAAGTTATAATCTATGTGATGGATATAATATCTTATTCATTTTAGTGCTTTTGTGTAGTTGTCATTAATAGGCAACAACGATCTATTTATCACACATTGCTGAGAATATTGAATATTTGAGCCATAATTGCTACATAAAAATATTATTGTACGTATATTTATTAGCTTTTTAAGTTTTTTTTGGTTTGTTTATTTACTCATTTATTTATTTTTTTTTGTATTTTTTAGGTTTTCTATCATTTATTGCTCCATCATGTTATTTCTGTATCATTCACTCTTGTTATATTTATTTCATATTGAAAAAAGAATATATAATAATTTAACTATAATTGAAAAAATCTGAAGGTTTAGAACTCTGTCCTACAAAATTTTCAAAAATTGAATTTACTCAGCTTGACATCGTTTACGGATTCAGCTAATTGATAAGGTATGATATGAATGAGGGAAATGGTGACAAATACTTCTTAAAATGTATTTTTATTTTTTACTCTTTGTTAATACCTTTTTTTATTAATATAATTCTTTAAATAAAGGTATTTATAAAAATACATTTATTTAAAGAACTATTAATCAAAAGGGTATTAATGAAATGTAAAGGTAAAAATCTAGATCCATACTCTTAAAAATAAGTTTAAAAAAAATGATGACTAGTATCAGAACAGGATCCAAATCCTCTGTTCAGTTTTTGGTGTTTTAATAAGTGTCTAACTAATTAAATCACACTACATTATCTCATGATAAGCACACAAAAATTAGTTAAAAAGCAATTTAAATTTTTTTACATGACGGTATAATATGATTAGTTAGACATTAATTACGACACTAAAATTGGACAAAAAATTTGAGTCAATCACAATAGTTATACCACAAAACGGGCCCAAGTTTTTCAAAGGCGATCATGTCCTAATAAAGTCTTCTATCTAATTTTTAGTGTTTTAATTGATGTTCATTAATTAAATCACATCACATCATTTTATAATAAGCACAAAAAAATTAGTTAAAAAGTAATTTAAATTTTTTACATGATATAATATAATTGATAAATTGATTAGACACTAATTATGGTACTAAAATTAGAGTGGAGATTTGAGTTATAAAGCACGTTAGATACTAAATTACACCAATTAAAAGCGTGAGCTGGTGCTCTGATTTGTTTTCTTTTCTTTATACCAAGTCAATTATCCTTTGAAGCTGAATTCAATAGAAAAACGACACATTGTTTTTTTTTTTTTTAATCTCTCTCCAAGTGGCTCATCATTGGACACTTTTCTTTTTGCTTATCATCCAAAGAAAAAGAAAAACATTCTGAGGCAGTAATTTTGTCCCCAAATATACGAGGGGTAATACTATAGCAGTGTCGTTGATGCAGTTGTAGTTATAGTTATAAATATAGCAGTAACAATTAACATTATACTTAAAAATTGTGTCTTACTCATTTAGAAAAAAAAAAAACTGTCTTACAAGGCAATCTCAAATTTAATCTTTATTCTAAAAAAAAATAAAAGATGGCGGAAAGGAAGAAGCCGGGCCTCACTTGACAATAAAAAAGGAAAATAAATGATCAAACGACATCTAAAGTTACAGCAAACTAATAATAGAGAAAGTAAAGAATAGACGACAAAGTTGCAAACGACAATGGAATAAATGAAAACGAAGAGGAAACAGTAAATAACTAAAAAGACTATAATAAGAAACCCCAAAAGCGCACACACACACACACACACACAAAACAAAACAAAGAAACGAAATAAGAAACCCCAAAACCAATACAAAAACGACACTAAAAATGAAACAACAAGAAGGGGAAAATGATGCAAAATAAAAAACAAGAACAGTAGAGAAAATGACTAAACTGAAACAACACCACAACGACACGACGACATTCATGGGAAAAAAAAAATACTAGAATGGCAAAAACAACAAAACTATGTAAATGAGAAGATAGAAATAAGAATAATTGGCCCTCTATATTCCAAACTTTGTCCCACTCCTGAACTTTTAATTTTAGCATATTACTTCTCGATTTTTTTTAATTTTTTTATAGTTTAAATCCCTGACATTAAAATCGACGAAGGATCATGTCACTTGAGCCAAAAGTCTTCGCAAAAAACATACTAATTAACTGACAAGACTAGATCTACACTTGTTGTCAAGTTCAAACAAAGATTTAATATTATAAGGCCATGTGATATCCGAATTTCCACTCCAGAATAGCTTGGCAACTTGCTTGTAGGCCTTCTCGGTGGGATGAGTAGCGTCAAAGTAGAGGAAATCATTTGGATGCTCACATAATTCATACTCTCTTCTCACTGATCCACACACAGGAAATCCTCTGTAGGGACCACTTCCGCAACAAGCCATATTCACTTCCTTGAAACCTTAGGATAAAAAACATTGATGACTCAACCTATGACGTGGGAAAAATCAAAAGAAAAGTACAAAAACTAGAGCAAATTGCAAATTTTCCAAGGCTCTTCAATTACCGTATTTTGAAGGATTCTCCGATCTTTCACCAAAAGAAGTGAAAAAGTCGTGCAATGAGTATTTGAAATCTTGGAGATTGCTCTCTAGCTTTTGGAGGGATTCAGAAAGTGCTCTGTTGTGTATCTTGGCCACTTCTGTGAAACCTTGGACGCAGCCACCTGTTTCGCGTTTAAGTGCTTTTACAAGAGGAAGACATCCTATGGGCGTTAAGTTCATAAACCCAAATTTCCTTGCTCCTAGCTTGTATATTTCCTGACCAATCAAAATGCATACTTAACCATAACTCCACTTGCAAAATGAGTATAGATCCGCTGTCCCATTTTCCTATCCTATTAGTTGTTTCTTCAATCAATTTTTGTCACCTCATTTAGTTGCTCAAGTGTTTTTCGTTTTTAACTCCTATGCATATGGTTAGGTTGTTATGTTTATATGACATGACAATATATATATTTATTGGAGGGACAAGTAATAAGAAAGAAAATCAAGATAGCAGATCTAAATTTTCGCAAAACACGACACTTCAGATGTAAATTATCTTGTGTAAAATTAATAGCAGTCGATGTTATTACTTGGATAACATTTGTCAAGGTGCCAATCACCATGCTCGTGTATTCTTTCTGAATGTACTCCGACTCAAAGAAACTGGTGTTTTTCTGGAAGGGGGCAAAGTAATCGTTGCCTCCAACGCTAAATAAGTAAACGGCCGTGGACAGCAATGTGTTGGCTTCTTCACAGCCTAGTTTGTCCCTCAATTGCTTCTCCACTTTGTAGAAATTGCTCAGTTGAGTCTTAAGGTCTATAACCTGAAGCAAATAAATAGTAATACTGCATATTTTTCCCCAGTTTTCTAAACCATGTTTGACAGGCATTAATATATCTGTCGCATGCTAACATAAAATTGGATGATCACTTACAAGACCCGGATGAGTTTCAACTAGAGTACCGGCCCCAATAGACGCAAAGTTTACCCCATAAACATAATCGTGAATGTCTGGTTGTAAATATGGTGGAATTAGTGGCAATTTTGCATAATCACCTGCATAACAAATGTACTAGTTAATAGTTATTGATCTTTCAAGTAATCCACACATTCATACATACATACAAATAAGTATCATAATCATAGAACCAGCTTACTGATAAAATCAGGGATTGTACGGCCATTAGTAGCTCTGCCGGTAGAGGTATTAAAAAAGCTTTCTCCATAGGGCCAGTAATTAGCTTGGAATCTCGGGCTAGTGTTGATATAATTGTTGTTTCCAGCATCGAAAATCGAATCGCCAAAGATGAAAAAGGCCACGGGTTTTTGCAGCAGCCAGTACCGGTCACTGCAGCTACTTGCAATGCCTGCAAGGAATAATAATGTAGAAAAAGCCCACAAATACTCGGGAAATATGGCTCTTTCCATATGTGCCTTTTGGTTCTATTATATGCACCCTGTGTCCCTATCTCCTCCTTTGGCCTTCACTGCCATTAATGATATAAAAGATCTTCATCGTTTCCATTAATGATGTATGACCAGTAGAAGCTTCTAGAGGACGCAGGTGAGTTGACTTTCAATAGTTAAGGATGTATTTGTAATATTAACAAAACACAGGGGTACTTTGGTGCAGTTACCCCCAAGAAACATTAAGCAGTGGGAGTGGAAAGAAAAGGTTAAAAAAATGAGTTCAGTTTAAGTTTTTTATCTATTAAATTTGTATAAAATCACATAAAAATTAAAAGATATACAAATTTAACGATTAAAAAATTTGACTTACTGATACACTATATTAAAGTATAAAACTATTGTTGTTAAAGTATAAAACTATTGTTGGCTCACCTCCTAATAGCTTAAGCTTTTGGGATGGATTGGTAAACTAACATGCTATTAGAGTGGGAGGTCCTGAGTTCAAACCCCCGTAATTGCACTTTTTATCCCCATTTAAATTGTCATCACGTGTTGGGTTTTTAATATATCTCGGGTTTAAATATTCACGTGTTAGGCTTTCTAATTAATTTACCCACACGATTGCCCATTGTCCAGCCCACACGTGAGGGGGAGTGTTAAAGTATAAAACTATTGTTGGCCCACCTCCTAATAGCTTAAGCTTTTGGGATGAATTGGTAAACTAACAATTTTTACAGAAATCAAAGGATTTTAGGCCTAACTCAACCTAACAAAACCGGCTTGTTAGGGGAGGATTGCTCTCACCTTATTAAGTGGATCATACTAATATCTCCAGCCAATGTGGGATTCTAATACGCCCCCTCACGCACAGCGTGGACCATGTCAAACCGCTGCGAATATGTCGACATTGGGGACCCAACATTGCAAAACTGGGTCTGCTCTGATACCACTTTACAAAAATCAAATGATATTAGGCCTAACTCAACCTAACAAAACCGGCTTGTTAGGGGATGATTGCCCTCACCTTATTAAGTAGATCATACCAATATCTCCAGCCACTGTGGAATTCTAATACACTAAACGCACTATAAAATCTCCAAAAAAATAAAAATAAAAAATTCTATTATAAGGTGTGAAAAACAAAATATGCCATAA